TATTTCAAATAATATTTTGACTGTGCCATTTAGTATAGAAGGTAGCTCATGGTAATTCTGTGTGGCTTCCAGAAACTTTCACTCTAATGCTGCATTTGTAAATAAAGAAGCTTAGTGGCCATTTCAGCCCCTGTGAGACCCAAAGCTTGGAAATTTAAAGCGGTTCCCTGGACTCCAGTTAGCTACCAGTTTGCAAAGACAGCCTTTGAGGGTGTAAATTTGTTGTCTCATTTGAAAGAGCAAGTCACTGAGCTCATGTGGATAGGAACACATGGCAGTTTCTGTTCTTCATTTCTGTATCAAAGGTTTGCATCAAATGAAATTACTGCAGTCAGGATACGGCTTGAGGAATCTTCCAGCTAATCCGCCTGCGAATTGTCGAGTTACTGTATGCAGGGTGGTGTCATAGCATGGAACGATGACTAAACGTCACCTGCCAGAAAGCAAGGGCAGTGGGGGAACCCTTTGTCACAGTAGTAGCTCTGTATTCACTGCCGAAGGCCGAGCTGTCTCAGAGGAGTGGGCCTTTCCAGCTGACTAAGGGCTACTGCAGTGAGAAGCATTAATAGCTCCTGAAGGCAGATGATGTGGAACAGAAATAACCTCCCTATACATCTTCACAGGTGCTCTCTCCTTCTTCAAGTGTGAAGGGCTGCTCCCCACTGTACCGTCCTGCTGGGGATCTGGCTGCATGGCGCTGGCCGTGTCACTGTGCAGCAGCATTTTTGGGGTGGACGAGAGCAGACAAGTGCTTTAGATCTGGCAGGCACACACAACCGAGTGATGTGGAGCAGTCTACTTGTGGGAGTTAAGTGCTGTGTCTTGGATAACACCAAACATGATTCACAAGGAATGAAATTTTAACTCTTGGGTTGCTCACATTGCAGAAATACTTTTCAAATCCGTTTTTTTTTTTTTTTTTTGGCTAGAATTACAGTTGTTGCCGCTTCTGTGGTGACAGGCACAATCACTCTTGACACTGCTTTGAAACACTTAAGAAATGGGTAATAGAGTCAGCGTTCAAGGTGATGGCAAGCGACTCTGTTCCTCAAGACTAGCACTGTGATGCAGACGTGACTAGATTACATTGTTGTTACTCCTCTGATGGGCTCCCTAACAGAGCTCTGTCAAATAAGTTATCTTGGAGACAAAAAAAAGGAGCCTGACTGTCGGAGACCAGGCTTTGTCAGTGTTCTGGGAAGTGCTCTTGGTCTGTGCATTTGTTACTGGTCTTTGGAGAGTGAGTAGATGATACGCTTCCGGCAATTCTCACTTGATTAAGGATCTTTACTGTAGACGAGCTTAAATGATAACAGAAACAGCTGGAAGAACTAGGAGCTCATATTAGGAGCTAATGATAATCTGAGTGGAGATGTGCGCCGCTCTCAGGGACTGGGCCCAGCATTAAGACTGGTGCGTCTAGTTGCAAGTCAAGACAAAGGAGGCCGTAGCCACAAGAGGAGACAATAGTTGTTTGGAAGAACGTCAGAGTAGGCTGGACAGTACCGCAAGAGAGCAGAGGTGGTAAGCATAAGGTGAATATGAGAAAGAAACGAATCATGCTAGGCTGGACCTTGGAGTCAGCTAGATAGCTGCTTGTGGTCTTAGTGTGTGCAGGCTCAGGCTTCAATTAGTGAATGAAAGGAGACAGTGCACAATTCATCCTGTCTTTGCCCATCCATGCAGTGTACTGTCTCAGCCCATACCTGTAGATAAAAATGCTGAAATATTTCCTAATAATCATTCACACTCAGAGTTTCTAGCATTATTAAAGAGAGGCTAATAGAGGAGGTGGTACATCCAGGATGATCATCTCTCAGTAGCTGTAGCATTCAGAGAGCCTTTGGTGGTACCTAGTTCAAAACCAAATAAATGAAGATGGTGTTAAGTGAGAGAGAGCAAGGACGCTTGCAAACATGGCCTTTAGATTCCAAGCTGTGAAGAATGTCAGTACCAAGAACGATGTAGTCCAACAGTTACAGGTTCATAAATAGTTTCCCACTGAACCTTTCACAGGGTAAGAACTGCAGATCTTCTGTACCTGTGTCAGCCTGAGGAGATGCTCTCTGCTTCCCGGTGGAACTGTGTGCCATGTCTCTGTACCAGAACTTCCCCACGAGGGCTGCTGACTTGGTTAGATGTTTATTTACAGCACGATTAGGTGATATAAGCAGATAACGCTGAATAATCCAGTGGACAGGAAGCTGCTAACCAGGTAATGCGAAGGCAGGTGTTTCAGTACTTTCAGAACCATTGAGGAGGCAGTCGTGTTACCATGATAAATTTAATGAGTCCTTGCTTTTTGGGTTTGAGTTCTGCCTCTAGCTGTGTTTTTATTCCGCGTTGCATAAGTGCATCTTGTTAATCTGTAAATAAAATGAGTAGGTAATAGAAGTGAAAAATGACTTTACAGAAAACACATTTTAATGCAGGCTTAAACAATCTTCCTTAATGTCTATTTTTAGCTGGGTGGGTGCACCCCTTCCCTTTCGTAACCCAAAGGCACCTCTCATTCTGTTTTTTATGCAAGTTAGGCCTCCCACACCATTAAATCATTTTTTATTGACTATTGAGCCTGCAAAAAAATGGACTGAACTTTAATATGCTACATTACCATACCATAAAATGCAATTTGTAGATCTTATTTAGATTCTGTGTTGCTGCACTTGCTCTAAATAATTGTTATTACTGAAGAAGATTTACAGGCACCGTTGAAAGAAAAAAATAAGTACTCTTCATCTTGTATGCATTGAAACACCGGCTGTGCATGATTTCACTTCTAAACCCTCTTGCTCCCGATTCTTTTCTGAAAAGAAACAAGTTACATTATGCTGTTAGTTGCTAATAGAGCTTTTAAGATGGCAGTATCGAGAACTTCTGCTGACTTCAAACAGTGCCAGGATTTCGCCCCTTCTTTTGTGCCGCTAAGTTTGTGCTAACTTTGCAAATGGAGTGTTTATCTTCAGGCTGTGATTGCACATCCCCATCCTCATTATTGTCACGTGCACAGCGTCAGCTGCTATGCAGCACTTGGCAGGAAAATGCTCTTTTCCTTGGGAAGTGGAAGTAAAACACTGTCCTCCCACAAACTTTTGACTAAGGCTGCGCACATACTCATCTTGACAAGGTACACGGCCTTGCTTTCTGTTGTTATAGATAGCTGCAGCCTCTTGGAGCGAAGTGAAGGGATGCATGCTGAGATTTTATGATTAACCAGAGAGAAATGTATATGAGTCACTCTTAAAGTGTATAGCTCTTTCCAAGGAACTAATGTTTTGCTCATCTTGACAGCCTTGTAGAATGACACTTATCTGTAGCACAACCTAGGGATGGCTAAGAAATATTCGAGCATTTTCTCAACAGTGTCTCGCCCTTCTTCTAGAAGGGCCACTTCAGAAGTGGAAGGGTGTTCAGCCATGCTGTCATTTCAGTACACCATCGTTTTCAGTGTGCCGATAGAAGTGCTATCTGTGGTTCCAGTCCCATGTCAGGCCAAGGAGGAGCCTTTCCATGGTCAGGCAGGACTGCCTTTGAGAAGCTCTCCTGCTCCCCTCTGCCCAGTGAGCTCCACGTCAGCGTGCCAAGTCCCCACAGTCATCTGGGTCTCCCAGCGTTTTGAAACTGGCAGAGTTTCAAAGGTATTTAAGAGGAATTTTCAGGATAATTTCCCCCCTCACGGAGACTTGCTGAGAATATTCACTACCTTTAAAAGTCAAGGCATTTAAGGTTGTGTCTAATTTCAGAATTATTTATCTAAATCTGGAGCCTGAATTAGTCATTTCGAATTGGACTCTTGAACTGTCAGTGCTTCCTGCATTACCACATCAGTTTAAAAAAAAAAATAAAAATAAGAGACTTTGAGCTTTTGCAGTGATAACATGTAGAACACAAACAGGTTATGGACCAAAGAGCAATGGCTGCTGTATGAAGAAAAGATTATCTTATATGCATACATGCACACATACATACCTGCATATATATATCTAAAACCAGTTTCCCTTTTCAATTACCTGTGGCAGTGAATATTATTTATCACTTTTGAAACCTTTTGCAGGGATTTCATACATAATAAATCTAGAATTAGAATAGACTATTTCAGTTGGGAGGGACCTACAGCGATTGTCTTGTCCGACAAAACAATCATCTAGTCCAACGAAGATCTAGTCCAAATCCTGAGAAATGTTGGTTTAACCATGAGATATGTTATGAAATTAATGTTTAACATAGGATATTATTTGATTAACAAATTGAGTCAAGCACATTAGTATGCCTGTTACTTTCCCCCCCCCCTAAAAAAACCACTAAGTTGATGATAGTTGAAGAAGGTAAATGGCTGAACAGTCTCTTCCAAGAGCTCCCTTTTGTTTTTCTGTAGAGTAAGAGGAAGTAAATGTGTGAATACACAGTATAAATGTCTCTATGATAAAAGCCTTTTGATTTTAATAGTCTCTAAAAAGTTAAGAGACTGCTATCTCATAAACTAGACAAGCAGAGAGAAACATCTTTTAAAATGTGGAAATAATCTTTTAAATAAGTTATCTAAAGTCCAGCTCAGTCAGATGTGTCCTATTACTCTGACATGTTTAAAGTTCTCAGTAGACAGTGACGGCTTATTCTGTTCTTTTTTTTCCCCCAGATTATTTGGAAATACATATGATGGCTCCAAGTGGCTATCAGCCCTGCTTCCTTAGGGCTCGGTTC